AGATCTCCAACTTCGTGTAATCAACTCCGACCAGGAGAAGGCAAACCTTTTCGGTTTGTTCCTCCAAAACACCTTTATCACCCCTGACAACCCCCACTTCGATCAAATCTTGAAGGAAACCCTGCCCTCGAAAACGTCCAAAATGCGCCACTCATTCTGGCTCCTCTCCCTAATGACAATCTCCTATACCACCCACCCTCATACAAAATACCCTTTAAAAAAACATGATGAACTCAACAGGCTTATTCCTACCCCCCTCGGCATTACCTTCTTCCAAACCTTTAACTGGAAAACTGATCCCGGCCTAACTATAAAAAAATTCACAGATTTTGCAATACATACAACCATCGGAGACATTGGAAATGATAACCGTATATCGCCATATTATGTCTTCTTCTTCTCTAATCCTTATGCCCCTCAGACGTCTTGTCCTGAATCCAATTCCTCCATTCTTTCCTGTCTCTTGTTAGGATTTCCTCTACGTCTTTCCTCCTTTCCATCCCTATTTCTCAGATTTGGTCTATCCATTTTCTTCTTAGTCTTCCTCGAGGTCTTCCCCTTTGCTTCTTCATTGTTTTTCCCATCTTCATTATTCTTCTTGTAGGTCTGCATGGTTCTAGCTATACTGTATTCATTTTAAGAAGGTAGCGGGAGAAAGGATAGGGAAACTTTGACTTTCAGTGTGACTGGTTAAAACACGGGTATTACAGTGAAACATAAGACGAGTAGCGAATTTTGCAAGCTGGTAGTTTCTGTTGCCAACTAAACTGTTGAAATGTCATTAGCTGTTAATGTCAAAGATTTATTTCTGTTTGCAGTGCTGGATATTTCTACTTTACAATAATTTGGGGCCATTTTATAATTTTCCTCTGTGTGTTTATCTTCAAACACAGCGCCATCTACTACCTTCTTATAATGAATGCAGTATAGGGCTGGGAGAAAATATCGATAATCGATATATCGAATAGCATTACGCTAAAGATGGTTATCGATATATCAATATATTGATAAACCATTCTTGATTATGTTATTCGATATATCGATACTTATCGATACGAATTACCAATTCGAGGATGCTATTCGATATATCGATATTTTATTTATCGATATATCGTTAACCATTTCTAGTGTCACGCTATTCGATATATCGATATTTTCTCTCAATGCTTGATAGGTTTTCCATAAAACACAATCATAACCGACGCTAACTGTCTGCATATTGTGATATATCGGTACCTCGATAATACATCCGTATATCAATGTTTCGGAATATCGATATATATCTGTATATCGATGTAACTAGGGATGGGCGATAACTGTTTTCACCTATCGATAAGTATCGGGTACTTACCTATCGATATATTTTACTTATTGAATTATCGATATATTGCTAGTTATCGATATATGAATACTATCGATACCTATATCGTTTTTTTTATAGTGTTTGGTTCAGTATAATGGCCAGTGTCCAGATGGTGTGTTGCTGAAGAAGATGTAGTATCATGTTTAATTGCCAACAACTGCTCTTGTACTCTGACATTTAGTCTCCTATTAGTGATCTCATACAATTAGTACAACGAATTTCGTAAACTCCTTGTTTTTATACCTGGGATATTGTCTTTGGGATTTCTAAGGAGATGTTGTAAAGAACGGTGAGATTTAAAACATACGCTAAATTTATCTTTAGGAAATGTGTTGGCAATTTTATCTATGATGCCTTTTATGTAAGGTAGGACAACCGATTTTTTGGGTTATTAGTTGGGTGTGGTGGGTTTTATTGAAAGATTATTACACCCTTTGATTGTCTTCTTTATTTTATCTAAAATGGAGCCATTTTGATGCAACATTTTGTTCAAGTTTTTGAAGTTCTTCTTTTTTTGAGCAATCGTCAGTAAGACGAAAAGATGTAATTTCTAAAGATTTTATTACTACGTGGATTTGGCATGGATGATGATGTGACCTAGTACTTCTCTTAAAAAAGGAAGCAAAGTTAAGTTTCCGAGACGTCGAGGAACTAAAAATAGAAACTTTACACGAGAGTAAACCCGTAAATGGATTGTATTAATAAAAATAGTAGCGCTCGTTGAAATCTCAACAATAACACAATCTTATCGTACCAATAGTTATTGACGTATCGATATATCAATAGTTATCGACATATCGATATATCAATAGTTATCGACATATCGATATATCAATAGTTATCGACATATCGATAGGTATCGATATACCAATAGTTATCGACATATCGATATATCAATAGTTATCGACATATCGATAGGTATCGATATATCGATACTTATCGATTAGTATCGATAGATCGATAACTATCGATAGTTATCGATATATCGATTTTTCTAGCTCTACCTATTGTTATTCGATATATCGATAACTATCGATACCTATCGATATATCAAAAAAAATTCCCATGCCTAGATATAACGATCTTTGTATATCGATGTATCGGTTTTATCAATATAAGTATCGGTAAATCGGTATATCAATAAATCGATATATCGATGTAATGATATGTGTATATCGATATATCGGTATTATCAATATATCAATAAATCGATATATCGGTATTTATTTAAAAAATATCCATATTCGATATCATTTTCTGAATATCGCACACCCCTAGTTCTAGCCTCACTATATGCGCGCAGTTGTTTCTTTTTTACATTTTCCGATAATTGCTCTTGTTCAGCTATTTCTCTGTTCATGTCATTTCTTATCCTGTCCCATTTGGTTTTTCCAGAAACTTTACTGAGATTTTGATTTCTATTGCATTTACTTTGCTTTTGTCTTTTTTGTTTAGTGTCCAGTTTTCACAGGCATATGTAATAGTTGTTAGGTATTGTTATTACATTATGTATTTTTCTCTCCTATCATTGAATACTCCTATGTCTATGTTTTTATGTCCTACTAACCTATCATAGCACATTTTATATATGTGATACGCGGGCATAAAGTACCACTTTATGCCCTAGGGCATTAAGTATCACCATAGTAACTCATTTATACTTAATGACAAAACAAACAAATATTTGCAGGTCATCGAAAATTAGAAACGTCAATTATTAATTGTCAATACCTACTAAATCATAAGATTGTCCTTATTTCGTATAGTTTCTGGAACTTCTTGCTCACGATGAATTGAATTATTTAAAATTACGTTTGACGTTTGGATGGTTTCAATCGCATTAACAAATTCGAACCACGCATACTCGATCACACATAATGAATTATTTTGTAAACGAATTTTGACGAAGAAAACTATTTGTAAAACATAAAATTGTGTATGTACCACGGGCATAAACTGATGTTTATACTCTCGGGCGACTAAAAAGCTCTCGGGCCATGGGCCCTCGAGCTTTTTAACTCGTCGCCCTCGAGAATATAAACATCACTATTATGCCCTTAATACATAAATAACTATTATGTCCTAGTATTGTTTTGTTTATTGAGTAATATATTCTTGTTGATTTATTAACTCTGTTTGTTAACTCCACTTCTATTTTCCCATCCTCCGGGCCGTTATTATACATCCCAAAATTTCGTACGCTGTTACTTTTTCCAATAATTTATTCTTGCATTTGATTCCTTTGTCGATCAGAGTGCCTGTTTTTTTTTCATTTATGATCAATACTTTTGTTTGTATGCTCGTAATACTATCAAAGGAAACTCCCACACATCCAGTAGCCCAAAAAGAGAAACACCCCCCTTTTTAGCGCATTTTTGCAAATTTATTTGTAAAAAGTAGCTTTTAATCTCACTTTGGCTGGCTGGCTGGCCGGCTGGCTGGCTGGCTGGCTGGCTGCAAATGTGGGCGTGTAGAAAAACTCTTGTAGAAAGGCAACGGGTGTACGTGTATCTACAAGGCCGTGAAATTTGTCAACCTTAGGGACATGGCTACATGATGTGGGGTTGGCGACATCTGGGCGTCATCCTCGAGCGTAGTATACTAACGTGAAGGTTTTTCAGTTTTTTCCTATCTTCTACTACAGTTTTGGTCCGATTCTTTTCAAATTGGTGTCGTCGGAAAGATGTTGTAAACGCGCACAACTCCTGCGTGGCGGAATTTTGTTTTTTGTCCTAGGGGCGAAATTAACGACCTTTTGCGAGGCGCGCGCGCGCGTCTTCGAGAAGTAGTCAACTTCGGGCGCCTTTTACTTTCCGTTGCGAACTCACGCGGTTTAACGTTTCGTAAATCTCGAATCGCTGTCTCTCTTTCTCGTGTCGCCAATAGAAGCGAATTGCGGGTGAACGGGACGTCGGAAGTGGCTACCGTCAAAGGGAATGTGGTAGCCCCCGACCTGATTTTAACTTTAAAAGCGAATTGCGGGTGCACGCGGAAAGTGGGAAACAGTTAGTGAATGTAGTAGCCTTCGACAAGATCTGTTATTGATGGTTGAGTCGAAAGTGGCTAATAGAATACTGATCTGCCACACAAAAATGCGCTGAAGTCCCTTCGATCTCAAACGAGGACTTCGATAATTTTTTTCGATAGAACATCTATTTCAAGGAAAGAAGCAATTTCGTTAAAAGTTAGGTGCAATAGAAGCAAGTAAAGAAATTGTGACCACGCTGTGTAATTTACGCCCATAAGAATAACATTGCCCTACGATTTCACGTCACCGGCTACAGAGGTATAGAATGTGCTGACATTACTGTTGGCTCTTATATTAATAGGACAACCTTTTATAGCAAAACTGTTACTTTTATTTTCCAGTACTTCTGTAATAGTTTTAATAGCAAGAAGTGTTTGTAATTAAAGCGGATCCAACTTGCTGAAGGAAAAAGAGTGTACCATTTTAGATTGAGGTGTACTACCTACATTGGAAGAATTGCAAAAATTGCATTATGTGTTGCCTACTCAAAGTCATTAAATATCATTTCCCTACATACATTCAACACACAATACAATAAAATGATTGCTTTATTGCTGTTGCCCTTGCAACTGCCATTAAAAGATAATTAAGGCGAACATATCCACTCACCCTCTTCAATCGAATGCGACTTGTTCCACTGATCTCGAATTTTTTGCGACCATCCAGCCGATTTCTTGTTCCTCGTACGTTCACGTACACTAAAACACGCTGTGCAATTGCTTAATGCCAAAGGTCCCCATTTGATACTTACATAACAAGTCCGGAGAGAGATTTAGAATTCTCCTCATTATCTGAAATATCAATCCACTCGTCGCTTTTGTCACTCCCACTTAAATCGCTAGCTGCCTTCCCATTGTAAATGGAACCATCGTTCGGCCACCCCGATAACGAACGACTATACAAGCTGTTGCTCTGCTGATCTGAAGATACCATCGAATCCCTGTTCGACCCCAACTCCCAATTGTCGATTTGAATATTGCACCCGTAGATACTCTCGTAGTTGTTGCTGAACGTTTCTTCGTTGGTATTCTTGGAGCTCAATTGGTAGATCGACTCGTAACAGTTTGAGAAGGCCTCGCCCTTTTGGAGTATACTCGAAGGTGGACGCGGCGGTAGGGGTTGTTCTTGTTTTCGCCTGCAAGGTAACGTCTCGTAGATTTGTTCGGACTCCGGTTTTTTGGGAGATTCCTCTATCGGATCGAAACACTCGTAACCGTCGTCGGCATTTTGTTCGTTAGCGTCGTACCTTGACAAGTACTCGTAGTTATGGCCGCCAGTTACCAGTTCATACATTGTATCATCGTGCTCAGTTGGAAGCGGCATTTTCTTCTTATTGATCGCTTTGGGAGCCAAAGGCCTCTTTGCGAGATTCAAAGATGTTGGGCGCGGAGGAATTGCGGGTGGTTCCGGTTTTAAGTCTTGCGAGGCCGAGCCAACCGCATCGTAGAGACTCTTCCAATCGGTTTGCGCCTCCAGAGATTTTTGCCTCCACAAGAACGACGTATTCGGTTTTACTAAGGTGTTCGAATCCGTCGGATGAATTTTTCTTAGGTTTAAGGTTTCGTACTTGGAATCACATCGTCTCGGCATTACCAGTGGAATGTTGAGTATTTGTACTTCCTCCTCGTCAGTCTTTTTCTCTTGGTCGCCGCCTTCGATTTGTTTAGGTACGTTAGAACTATCTACAGGGTTTTGATTAACACTATTATCATCGCGAATATCGAGCGCTTTCAGTTTTTTTACACCGTTTTTTATGACTAAGTCTTTAGTTTTAATATTTGGACTTTTTTCAGGCACTTTGGGTTTTGGCACTTTTTCTAATTCTTTAACGATAGTTTTTACCTCGTTCTCCGGAGTTCTAGATTCAGAGCTGCGCCTCTCAAAAATTTGAATGGTCGCGCGAACTGTACCGGTTGTTTCTGTTTTAACAGCAGATTTCTCGTCATTTTGACGAAGTTCAAGGTTTGTTTGGCTGCTAAAGTGTTGTGGCCTCTTGCTATCATCGAGATTAGCTGGTTTGATTTTGACACTGGGTTTTCTGGCAACCTTTTTGTTGGTGATATCCACTTGAGCAGGCGGTGTTGCTTTGAGACTATTCACTCTACGAACCAAACGCGCGAATTTTGGCTGTTCAAGAATTGGCACTCGATCCGATAGCATTTCGTTAAACTTTGACGTAAGTTCTGCTACAGTATTTGGATTTAAAGCTGCAAGTTTGCCACTATTTGGTGCTGTTCGTCGAAATGATGGTTTTTTACTGCACTTAAAACTAATTTTCCTTGTTGGCGATTTTTTCTGCTCCATGTTCTCCTTATTGGGATCAGGGGGTTGACTCTCCTCATCTTTTGTCTCGCACAAATTAAGAAACACCTTACGCGATTCTTCTACATTGCGGCGTAAGTAACTTGAATTCAGTGACGATTTGGAAACGACTGAGTCACAGTTGTTACTGGTTTGATAAGCTGTTATCTTTGCAGATCGCATGTATGGAGCGGTGTAGTGAGGAAATCGCTGCGAAGGCTGGTCGATATCAATGAAACCATGGTAGACTGGCGACGAGATGCGTCGGTCTAATGACAGCGTTTTGGACCAATTTATCATGTTGACTTGTGCGGACATCGTGACCTGCAATAAGGAAAAATAGTTATTATTGATATGAACAAAGTCATACAATCTTATCTTGTAGTAGCGATTTTGTAAAAGTTGTGATTATTGCATACAGACTATTGTTGGTGGACGAAAAACATCGGCAAACTATAAAACCAATATAAGGTATCATTCATCAACTCAAACGGCATGATCCTTTTACCACATTTTCTACAGTGAAAAAGTGAATACAAAATTGTTTTTCGTTATAGCGTTCTCACGTATTCAATAAACTTTCGCAAATCAAATAAAATTAATTTATCCATAAGCGCCTTACCATACTAAAATAACCTCGGGACGGCAACTGACAATAGGCACAGCGTACGATACTCAAGTAGTACGTTTACAAACGTGACACGATGGAATGAATCTCATCAGATTGTAATGAGCTCGTAATAGATAGCTAATCGATTAATAACGATAATCGCACACGTTAACTCTTGAAAAATGTAATGTCACCATTACAGTTCACAAGAATAGGTACTCAAAAATAAGGGCCCAGGTACACGGACCATACTAATGTCAAATAAGAGAGTGCACATATGAGGCACCAAAAAAGTAAATGTCTTATACATCTAGTAATTGGGGTTGGTTTTTGTACTAATGAATAATATTACCAAATGCTTATTCACATTAACAATCTCAAACAGTATCCGATGGTGAAATACTTGTTTGTCTATTTCAAGGCCCCCCAAGGGTTCCCTTGGTCAAGAGGGTTGCTAACTATATCCAACTTACACTCAAGACAGGTTTGATTGCTGATAAGAACCAGCTTTTACAAAATAATTACAGGAATTAATGTCTGTCTGAACAAATTTGTTCCTAATAGCATCTAACACCACGTGGAGAACCGTAGCAATAACCGTTGGACACTTTGTGGTCAACAAGTACGCCCTTGAACCATACGTTAACATGCAAAACAAAGACTTTATTATTTGCAGAGAATTTTAAGTTCAACGTACATATTTTGTTTAGCTTTTAGAGCAAGTGTGTTTTATTCTCTAATTAAGAGGCGGCGTTCTGCAAACTTATTTAAGAGGGAGCAGCAATAAAGTAGTAATTTAAATTGCAATGAAAAATGCACGAATTCCCGACATTCTTGGTAAGCGCCCCCGAATTCCAGTCAATTTAAAACAACAAGCAAGTCATATTAGGTACCTATATATACCTCCAGGTCGTTATTCAGTTCCAAATGGTTTGGTCAAAGTGGCCTTCATTGTTTGAATTAGTAGTCGGCTTGCAAATGAGCAAAATCTTCGTCAAGATGGCGTGTTTGTATATAGATATGGTACGGTCTATGTTGTGCTTTATCAGATCTATGTCAGAAAACGTGATTGAAGTTTCAGCCAGGCTTCTCTAATCTCTTCATGACGGAAAATTACTGCAACTTTAGATTGGAGCAGCGATGCATTTTCCCATCACCAGCAAAAGGGGTGAAAATTCATAATTGCTTAGATTAAACGTTATGTCTATCGTCTCGAGATGCTATCAATAACAAAGACATAGTGTGAGGTCTGTTTTCATAGACAATTTTATGTTTTAAGTATTTAAATACAACTTTACCTTCGTTGTTGAGTCTTTACCAGTTTATGTGGGATATTTCTTCATTTCAGTCTCATTGGAAATTCTGTTCAGTTCGGGCTTTACAAGAAAGAAACGGTTTTTGGCATTATCATTTTGTGTAACCTATACCAGTCCTCCTTGCACTCTCAATTTATACATTATTAAAATATGTTACATATCATTTGTAAAAATGTGTAACTTATAGCTAGAATGCCCCCTTAATATGTATCTCCATAAGGTATGTATTTTACAACTTTAAACACTAAAAATCTGTAATTGATGTTATAGCCAGAAGATAACCTGTGGTCGAAACTATTTAGTCTTTTACGTCCTTTTTAAAACTAAAGTAGTATGGGGAAGGTTTTGTGTTTTAATTTCTGAATCAATAACAAATGTTCTTTATATCCCTCACCTTGCGAAAGTTTGCCCTCTTATCTCCTCAAAAACTAAAATTGAAAATCTAATGCTCAGGTTTGATTGAATTTTAATAAATACGCTTATGACTTTAGTTGATTAAATATTAAAAGAAAACGCAATCAATTTCGATTTTTCTTAACGCGTTCTCGGATACAAAATATTGGTTTGATTCAAAAAAGAAATACAAAAATGCAATGCCTAATTTGTGATCGCATGTCGATGATTGTTACCTAAAATTTATCTTTACAATACACAATTTTTTTCATTCCAAGTATTCTCATAGGCCGATCCATTTAGGAATATTTAAGATACTTGGAACAAAATTTCTTGTGCAAATTCCTAAAAATCACTGTCATTATATTAAAATTTTACAATAACTCACAGTTATTGACGTGGGTGACGTTAACAAATGTTGCCTCTTTTAGAAACATGGAAACATATCGCTCCAATGGTTCATGTTGACTTCTTTGCACCACTATGGTAACATTATCTTCGTGATTAATGCAAGGCTTTGTGGAAGGAAAGTTTGTGGAATCGTGAATCCAATCAAACCGGAGACAATTTCGTGAAATGAATACTGAAGATGGTAATTATGCACAGGAATAAATACGCCAATGTTCCGCTGTGTTCATATTAGTTTTCTTGCGGACAAATGCATCAATTAATTGCTTGCCGTTGTATACTCGTCACCAGTTTAGAAATTTTCACTCAAAAATAAAACTGCTAACAGTTTATCGATAAATTTTTACAAACGACAGTTTTAGTGCGCCTAGGATGGTACGTAACCGCTCGCGAACTTAATTGTGAAATGATCGCAACTATGCGAAAAGAAATTTTTAACAAACGTACTAGCTCTTTCATAGTCTAAACTCGTCTGCGGAAAACTGCCTTTACAACTCGGCACTTCGCTTATCTCGAAACGCACACCTAGGTATTAAAAACGCCCACGTTGTTATCGCCTTTTATTTCGTAACATAATTTTGTTCACGTTCGCTAAGGAGCGGTATACAGAGTGTCAATGTTAAAACTTGCAGTCGGCCATATTTTCCAAATTAAAGAAGATATTGAAAATCGCGCAAAACCGTTTCGGGGGTATCGAGGGGGAACCAGAATGAGGTTATGAGTGACAACCTCCCACCTCCCATTAACCCCCCAGCCTACTCTCTTCAAAAACCCTAAATGGCAACCCCATACTTGTAACACATCGTTGGAAAGCTACTGAAAAATGCTTTCCAGTGGTACCAATAAAGTCAATATTTATAAAGACAATTTAACAAAAATTTAATAATTAACTCTCTTATGGAGTTTACCTGCCAGGAATTCTGTGGTGTACCAAAACGAATCTCTAAACTTTTGAGCACCGATTAATCACACTGTGATATCTAAACGCAATTCAGATAAAAGCTGAGTGCAAAAGTACTTAACAGCAATTCTAGAAATTGTGACAATTAACTAGTCAGGGGATGTCCGGCAAAGTAAAGGAATATTACCTACAACCTACTACCTACCTACAGAGAAATGTGTAAGTAAAATATTCAGGGTCCAACATAGAAAATATCCCCAACCCAGTCAAAATTATTCAAGTATATCTAAAACGACCTTTGAGATGATAATCCATTGATCAATTGAACTAATATTCTGTCAAGAGATCGTTTATAATTTTGCATTGCAGTCTGTCTGTCTGTCCATGTGCACGATAACTTTGTTTAGAAACGCTTTCAAAATTGGTACACATGTTCTTAAGGATACAAGAAAGGTCGCTGCCGTCTTTCGGTTACGTAAACTATTGGGCCTAAAATTCAATAGAATGAAGTGCTTTCAGATAAGAAGCGAGTGTGCAAGCAGCGTTTCCGGTTCTAAAGACTGCTCTTACGGAGCATGGGGGAGGAACTTTCTGCTATATACCCTTAAAAGTATAAAAAACGTAGCTGAAGCTTGGTTTTCACGGGTTCCGTTTCGCTTTTTGGGTACGGCGGGTATATTAGGAAAAATTGGGTGGGAGAGAATGATTCTTGACTAAAGCGAATCGTTGCATTTTATATCGCGTAACAATTGTTTTTCAACTAAAAGTTTCAAGACAAATTCGTATAATAGAGGTATACCGAGTTTTAGTTTTAAGAAGCACAGAAGCAGATTTACACGATTTTTTTAATTGTGTTCATAGTATACTTACTCAGTTTATCTTAGGCGTAGTATGCTATAGTATGAGGTAATTAACGGTTCTCGTTTTGGATATAAGCATTCGGCGAATTTTCTTTGCAATCAAAATCATCTTGTCTCTTACAACATCCGCCTTCTAAATCTGCAAAAGAAAATTGAAATTAGCGTAATGCAAAACATAAAAATGATATTGTGGATCCCTTTGCCGATAACTGCAAACAGTACGCGATCTTGCTTTACTGGATCCCCCCCCCCCCTTTTTTGACGAAAATACACGATGATCGGTCGGTTTGTCGGTTTATCTGTCTGTAGTCTCATTTCCGTCCAACACCTGAACCGATTGAAATCAAATTTGGTACACATATTCTTAAGGCATAAAAGGAAGACCTGCAGAATGGCACATGCGAAGATGGCATCTCTTTTTCTTATTGTTATTTGTACAGAGAAAGAGCGACATCTTGACTGTTTTGTGGTTTTAGTTAGCTTTCATAGTAATTTGTTCCCAATTTTTTTAAATGAAGATGCATTAATTTGCATTAAATGTTTTAATTTACTCTAAATATTTAAAAATTAACATACAAGGAGTTCATTAAAATAAATGTTACTTAATATTATTTGCTAACTTAACCAAATTCGTAACTTTAATAACAAAAACTTCGTAAAAGTGCTGGCTTTAATTCATTGTATTATATATATGTTATAATGATATTGTTATCGAATTTTGTATAAATCTAATTAATCCTCATGACAATCTGACATTGAAAGATGCTTCACTAGTTTTGATGTAAAAATGTGAACGGCTGGCAGTATGAGCTCCCTATTGGAAATTTTGGTTAGTTTAGTGATTCCAGGTTAGTTCTGCCTTTAAGGCAGATCCACATAATTTGCGTTGTGTCGAATTGACTACATAATAATCCCAATTTCTTGTAATGGCAATTTAGAATAAGCGCGGTCTGCGGTTATAATCGTCAATTTTTTGACTGAATGGCACCGATTTTAATAGGAAATTTTCGCCAATTGCCTACATGCAATTCATTAGTGGACAAAAATGACCGGAACAAATGTCTTTCTTTTGTCACAACTCGCCGAACTTGGTATGCGGATTCCACTTGAAAGATTGCATCTCCTTTTAGTCAATGATTTCGCATCAATTAACGTAACGATTTAATTTAGTCCCACGCCTTGATACCGAAAAGACTTATACGCACGTACTTGCAAGTAATCACTTTCTAATACCATTTTCTATATACCTATGCGTAATGGCCATCAAGTGTGTGTGATAATGTGAATTCTAAACAGCTTCTTAAGTAATCACCTATAACGTGTATTAATAAATACACTTGAAAGTTGAGGGCATTGCATGAAATTTAATATGGAACCAGGAAAGATTTCTAATTTAGAAATTTCCCAGAGAAGACATCTTTGTTTCAAAAAAAAATATAGCAATAGTTTACCTAAAAAAGCATTGACGTAACGTTAATTGTTGTCACATAAGCAAGGCCAAATTTAAAGCGGTGCATAAAATCCTACATTTTTACAATTCCGAGTTACCGTTTCTTGTCCCATTCCGTTGTGTCGCAATTAATTGTTATTGTTATTTATGAAAAAAACATGCAATTGGCACACTTTTACGTATAATAATACGGAAATGTATAGCTAACAAAATGCACGTTAGTATAGAGGAATGTTATTAAATTTTATTTCTATTGCGGCGAGGCGAGTCGTGAGAATCTCAAATTGTCTATGTCATCTACAGGGGGTCGGTAAATTTCGAGGCCCTCTCTATATATTATTATTACAACTGCTATGTTCGGAAATTCGGTTAAATAAAACAAGGAAACTAACCCAAGGTGCACCTTTGACGTTTGACTAGAAATAGGGATAAAAACAAACAAAAATTTGAGTCAATGCATATAACAGTAGATACCTAACGCACATGTAATTGCATCACAGACTATTAATTTATTAATACAATAAAAATTAATGTGTATACAACAATTTTTGTGACTGTAATATCTATAAATACCACTTAAACAATTGAATAAAATTAAAGAAGACTATTACCTAATTATAGGATACAAATAGTCTCATGTTGTTTGCCTACTAAATTGTAACAGTACCAAAAATAAAAAAAATAAATAAATTATGCATTAGCATGAAGAAATAAAGAAGAATTATCTTTAACCTTCCTCTTACTAAACACGAAGATATTAATAATGAGTGGGCCGTTGCATTTTAAAGTATAATTAGGCAACTAACATAGTTATTTTAAAATGGGTGGTTTACGTTCGTTTTTTTTTAAATTATCTTTACTTTAATTTTAATGGGGGGATACAAATTTCAATAACTTTCATTACGACCATGGCCAGTTTCAGTATGCTCAAGAATTCCTAAATTGCAGCGTGCCTAAGTAATTTGTGAGAGAAGCGGGCTATTCTTGGAATTATTAACCTGTCCATCGGTTGTTATGGGCACAATGTTCATATAATTAACTTCCACCGTATCGTTGAAAAAAAAAGGAAGAACATAAAGTTGTATGATGCAAACGACCATAAACAACTATCTGTCTACTTCAATGGATTCAATGTATATAATTATGTACATGAACAACAGGTTAATTGTTTCATATTACCATTTCACTTATGGATAAAGAATATATAGGAAGGGCAATGGGAATTTAAAAGAAAAGGAAGGTTGCAATAAAGAGCCATAAAACTACTACTGAAAGTGCATGAAGAATGCGATAATCAAAGTGGCCGAGATGGAGGTGGGGTACAAGAGAGGCAACAGAGCAAAGAAGCCATGGATAACATTTGAAATGATTCAAAAGATGGAAGAAAGAGAGACAGAGAGGGAAAGAACGAAATACTGACGACTAAATAATTAATTGAGAAGAGAAACTAAAAGGGGAGAGAGCTACTAAATGAATGCAAGGAGATAGAAGAACTCAATCGAATAAGGAAGGGACGACATCGTATTCAACAAAGTAAGAAACATGGTGTGGGGTCAGGTTGTTGATGATTTGGAGAAATGGAAGACACGTACGAATTGAAAATTAACCACAAGTAGTCGAAGGAAATGAAAGTCGGAGCAGAGGAAGTAATGAATGGGAGAAAATCAAGTAAATACTTACGCCCAGTAATGTCAGACGATTGGTTGAGTGACAAAGAGATACTGATAGGAATTGGAATGGCCAAGGCTGGTGAATTGTTTAGTTTGTAGTGTTCTGTTGTAAATAGGTGTGAGGTATGGACATGAAATAAAAAAGAATTAGAAAAACTGGAAGCAGTCGAGACGTGTACTTGGAGGAGGTTGTTAAAAGTAAAATGGAGTAATAAGGTAAGAAATGAGGAAGTGTTAAGAAGAGCAGAAGAAGAAAGACAACTGTTAGCAATATTAGAAAAAGAAAGAAGAATTGGGTGGACCACGTGTTGAGAAGTAATGGAATGTAGACACGTATTGGAGGAATCGGTGGAGAGAAACGAGCAAGAAGGAAAAGGATTGATGATTTAAAGAAGGCAACACGCTATGTGGCGATGCAGAGAGAGGTAATGGAGTTCTGGAGAAGGGTTGTTACGTAAGAACCTACCAACTGGAAGACAAATAAACAAAAATCATAAACTAAAACGAAATACCGCGCAACGGAATTGTTATGATAATTCACAGAGATTGAAACACAATACAGTAACCATTTTTTTACAATACCTCAATTTGGCTGAACCCCATAGAATTCATGTGGATTCAGAATTCCCCTAGGTCAAGGCTCGTATTAATGGTATATGACGTTGAGAGAAATGGACACTGGACCGAGGTATGAAGACAGATTTGCGTTACGTTCCGCCGAGATAGAAGAATTGTCCTTACTGGATTCGTTGGGGATGGGATCACGTAATGCACGCGTAGGATATTTTATTGCGTGCGAATATAACTGTTTTATTTTTCGTGGGCGCAACGGTAAAATGAAATGAATTTGCAGTCACCCAAGTGTACGAATTATCCAATGCGAAATAAAAGAAGAGCGCAAACTACAATGAACCGAGTTTGCTTTGCTTCTTCGTCACTCGGCCCAATTTTGTTTAGGGAGCCCGGCCTTCAAACTGTTCACACAACATTCGTACCGACCCCTTTGAACTTCTAATCTTTTATTGATGCAACTAGCACCACTAACTTCCTTATACTTGGAACTGAGCGCGCATTATTAACTTTCTTAAAACGTTTTTACACTTAAAACGCTTCCGCTAACTTTTACTCTTTTTAAAAGAAAAAATAACTTATTTCTTTCGCAATCAAAAGTTCTACCAAAAGGTTCGTAACGGGTGACCTATACCTACGCTAGGATCATCTATGCACGTTTTTTGTTCATTTTAGTTTATAATTCGTTTTTTAAATTGCGGAGTAGAAAAACTGAAAGGGCCCCAGAGCAATTGGATGGTTCGTTTCCACCTGCAATACCTTCGAGAGCTTCCGCAGCGGGTTTCAACCAACCACGAGCTTCTATTCTCGAGTGTACATCAATTTGTCATTCTTCCTTTGTCTTCCACATCTGATTTCAACAGCAAGCCACTTCTTGTGCAAATTAAGTACACCTGGTACTGGATGCAATCCATCTTCATCTTTTGAATGAATGATAAATGTCACCGCTTTGGCACTTTTGATTATGTATCGTCATGGTAGCTTAATTCGTGAATGTTATCCAAGTACAAGTCCCGCACCGCCTCCGCTAACAACTCGACACTAACCAAGACGCCGCGGACGGCAACCATTGTATCTAATGTGGCATTCGGTTTTTAATATATCTGCCTCTTCTTTGTTCCAGATATCAGTCACTGCACTCATAAACAATTAAAATAACAGTTTCCAATATTGTTGCTGCATGTTTTGCGATGTGAACATACCAGATCCAATAATTCTTAAGCGCATTAGACTTCAAATTGACTTTAGCCGGAAGGGCTTGTCTGTCCGGCTGTTTTAATCGTATCTGCGTATTCAAAGCGACGATTTTGTTCCAGGATGTACAGCATGGTCCGTCTTTGTGTACTGAGAAGCTTAAAGAATACTTTTGTTGTTGTGTGTGCTTTTTTCGCAACATTTCTTGATTTTGAAGATAAAAGGGATTTCTTCCTTGAACCCCGAAAATATTTATGGG